AAAAAATTATCACTGGGAATCCTGCTGCATTGATCATTAAAAATATTTAATTAATTTCATGAGTAGTCTCGCACTTTTATTTTTTTAAAGTTGACCAGAAAAACATTTTTAAAAAAAAGGAGAAATAATCAAAACCGAAAAATCAGTATGAATTCTTCTTCTCCATTGATTTCCATTTCTAATCTTTTCTGATCTCTAGTGTAAAAATCTGCCCTCAAGTAATCCTTAATATAACACTGTACATCCCACAAAAAATAGAAAAAAAAAAAAGGATCAATTCCAGACAAAAACATTGTGTAGCTTGTTTTCACAAGCTGTAAAAAGAGAAGCATTGTACCACCTATTGCACCCTTTTCTCTTCCTGACCACCTCCTATCAAACATTACATGACCAATGTCTTCCAAATCTTCTGTATAAGTTAACCCTTGATGAAGATAAGATTCTCGAACACCCTGGATGAAGGAATTAAATTACCTTAAAGCTGCGTCTACCTCCTAGAAGGGCTTGCTAGGGTGCCTGAAAGCAGGCATCAAATGGGTTGCCTGAAAGCAGGCATCAAATGGGTTGCCTGCTGTCTTATTAACGAATTAAATTATACCTTAAAACTGTGTTTACCTCCAAGGAGAGCTTGCTAGGGTGCCTAAAAGCAGGCATCAAATGGGTTGCCTGCTGTCTTATTAACAAAGAATTGAGGAAAATCAACCTCTCCGATACTCCTGATCCTGTCTCTCTACATCTTGCATGTCAAATGGTTCAGGGCAGATCTCGCTGGAATGTCTTCTACGTGAGGATGAACGTTCACCAACACCATTTTGGCCACTGCCCTGTGATTGTGAACCTGTTGTTCCTGAATGTTTTAAACTGGCTGGAGCATCTGCTCTAGCACTGGAGGCTGCTGCAATAACTGCTGCATCAGAGGAGCTACGCCAGCTACCAAACAGGGCAACATTCCAGTAGCCTCTTGAAGATGTTGTTCTAAGCCTTGCTGAGTTTGAATTCTCTTCCCTTACTACCTTCAATGGGTTTTCTAAAGCTTTAAGGACATACCTCATTGGCGGCCGCCTTGAAGGTTTGGGATTTAGGCAAGACCTGGCAACAATGGCCATTGCCCACACTTCCTCTAACAGATCCTCATCCACAATAAGAGATGGGTCAACAATTTTTGTAACGAGGTCCTTATCGTATATTGTGATGTATGGCAATGTCTGATCCAACCATTCCTTCACTTGGGCATTGTTGGATGCACTGATTCCAAGTTTACCAGTTACCAGCTCGAGTAACACCTTTCCAAAACAATAAACGTCATAGGCACATGATGCTGTTGATGAACCTGGCCATTTTCCAAATAAAAAAAGAAATCTCAGAAACTTTAAAATACTTTTGCAACTTCAATTCTTAAAATGCAGTTGAGATTTTGTGGTCTCAATGTTTATCTATTCTTTTCTTCTAAAAATTCCCTCAGGCCAGCTAAAGTCAGGCAAATTGTAAAAGACTTCCTTGGTAACTACTTCAAAAACATATCCAAGTGTAAGGCTTGAATAGAACTGCCTTCTAATACTTATTTGATATTATAATTTCTGTAAAGCATGTTCAAACTAAGGAGTGACACATGGAAATTTCTATTCAAGCACCATAATGAATCAGCAGCTAGAAAATGAAGATTGGATGAAGAAAACAATAGAAAAATTTTACATATAAATCATGCACATACCAGAAGCACCTTGTTCAGATGACCTGCACATGGTAAAGAAAGAACCATTATGACAACCTTGACCAAGTAAATTGTGTACAAAATGCATTAAAACAAGTAATTAAACAAAGTACAGCATAACCACTTAGAAGAGCAACATTTTGCAGGTTGCAAATCCATTTCACTTTGCCTGTCCTTTCAGGGTCCAAATCAGTTTCCCTTATCTTTTCTTACTGACTTGAAGAGATGCTCTTCAAATTGGGTCTCTACACTGTCAGATGTGGTATGGAGCTGGTGTCTTTCCATGTGTACAGGCTAATTCAATAATGCACACATGATATAACATGTTCTCCCAATTGGTTATTTATTTCTTCTATCACCATATTACAGCTTAAGCTTGGAACAACTTTAGGTTCTGAAATGTCTTGAATTACATTCTTACTTCTAACCATCTAAGGAGAAAACATAAATGAAATACTCACTTGATACTGGTTGAGATAAATTTTATAACAAAGGAACAACTAAAGGCTTTCTACTTCTTATCTCTAAAAGCTCTAAGTGCTAAAGGGAGCTAATCTACGGTGACTTATGATTTAATGAAAGTAATACCAGCAAGGCAGTTGGCAATGTTCATTAGTAATAGAATACTTACTGTGGCAACCGTAGCAATCTGCTAATTCTGCTTTGAGGACCTTCACCTTCATGAGCACAAACCTCACTCAGACTCCCAAGGCGTACTTCAAATTTATCATCAAGAAGGATGCTGCTTGCTTGAACATCTCTTCAATGACAAAAGAGAAAATATCACCACTTGCATACACAGCATAAGTTTTTCTAAATGTAAAGCAGTATATAAGCCACTCAGTACATAGTATAATACAGTATTCAAAACCAATTATTTGGCTTTATAGATTATGAAATCCAAAGGCAGATTTGCAAGGCAGTAAAATAAAGTGAAAATGGGAACATATATTAAAATTTAAAGGGGAAGAATCTCGGGAAATTTTCAATATCCAAAGAAAAAAAGAGAAGAGGAAACAACTACTAGAAGGAAAAGAAACAACACATAAGAAGAAAACCTCAAAGTACCTGTGGACAAAGGGTGGTGTACATTCATAATGCAGATATGATAGACCCTCTGCAGCTCCTATGGCAATTTTCGATCTTGTTATCCAATCCAATGACTGTAAATTATCATCTTCTGAATTGCCTTTCCTGTACAAGGAACTTGACAGATCCCCATTTGGCATATATTTATAAACCAGGAATTTTTCATTTTCTTTCTCTAGGCAGTGTCCCAAAAGGGGAACCAATCGTGTATGTGAGGCCTTACTAAAAAAATCCAACTCTAACATGTATGATTCCCTACTAATTGACTGCAAATCAACCCTTTTGATGACAACGGGAATTCCACCTTCCAAAAAACCCCTGAAGAGATCACCAGAATGACCATGCTTGATAAGGTTTTCATCACAAAAGTCCAATGTGGCTTGAAGGAGCTGCTGATATACAAACGCCTCCCCCACACTTGAAAAGTTAGTAATGGATGCTTCCGGTAGCGGAGGCTTGTCCTGAGCAGGAACTGGTTGCACATCACCTGCCCTTTCATTTGTAGTGTCCCTTTTACATGCACATATAACCAGCAGCAGCAATGCAACCAATGATGCAAAAAACACAACTCCCCCCAGAACTACTGCCAATATAATTATTTTTCTCTTGCTCTTTCCAGAACCAGATCCTGGAGGTTGTGTGGAATTTGGGAACCCAAAATTATCAAAAGTCAGGCCTCTCTCAGCATAGAATGATGAACACTCTGTGAAATTCCTCTGATTTGGCACTATTTGCAGGCAGTTGGAACCAAGGGATGCATTCTTGGGCACATATACTGGAACTTTGCCTTCAAAATAATTTCCTGATAAATCTATAGAACTATACCTGCTTAGCAGAGGTGTGAGATCTCCATAAAACATATTCCTAGATATGTTTAGTTCTGCAGCTGTGCCATTACTGTTCAAGCTAGAATTAGGCAGCAAACCAGTGAAATTGTTGCCAGAGACATCAAGCAAGTTCAATCCGAGTAATGACCACAACACATCTGGAAGGACACCAGTGAAACCATTCTGTCTCAGAACTACAACCTGCAATTTACTTGTACCAGGGAACAAATTCGCTGACAAAGATCCACCTAGAGAGTTGTGCCCAAACACCAATCTTTGCAGATTTCTTAGCCCTCTCAAATCCTCCGGCACAGGCCCAGACAATGCATTGAAGCTGAGATCAAGGTCAACCAAGCTGTTGAGATCCCCCAGTTGGGCAGGTATTGAAGATGTTAGACCATTGTTGGAAAGATTTAAACTTTGTAGCTTCAAAAGGGACCCAATGCCAGGAGGAATTGACCCACTTAGGTTGTTTGAAGAAATGTGGAGACTTGTTAGGTTGCCAAGTGAAGCAACCAATGCAGGGATAGTTCCAGTAAGTGAATTCTTTGAAAGATCAAGGACTGAAAGGTTCAACAATCGACCCAGAGAAGAAGGAATCAGCCCACTAATGCCATTGTCAGATAAATATAGTCCTGTTAAACTAGTCAAATTGCCTATACTCAAAGGAATAGAACCATTCACAGAACAAAACCGGAGATCCAGCACTTGCAGAGTCAACAAACTTTGGCCAAACCATTCTGGGATCGGACCCGGAAGCAAGAACCCAGAAGCATTAAAAGAGACCAAATGTGTCAAATTAGCAAGAGAGTCAACAGCAAACTGTGGGTTTAGTCGACCAAGCCTTGTTCTTCTAAACCCAGAAATGTTAATACTAACAACACTACCATTTGCACAACTTATGCCAGTCCAATTCGAGCAAGGTTCAGTCTTTATAGGCCAATTCTTGCTTCTAAGCCCCAAAGAGGATCTGAGTCCCAGTAGAGCAGCTCGCTCAGCCGGAGAAGCCTGCTGGACTTGCTGCTCAAATGTAGACTCAAACAACAACAACAACAAGAGAAACACAAAAGCTAAAACTATGCTATTCCGATCCACCATGGCTTATGGACACTGCCCCAATGATCTAACCATTAGCATACTTCTTCCTCTCAACCCAGGTACCTACTATACATGTAAGTGCATCACAGTGACTCTGCAATGAAATTTGGCAGAATTAGAGATACCCACTTTATAAAAAAAGCACCCTTTCCCCCCAATGCAACACACCCTCTATTAAATACGCTAAAAGCTCTTACCTTGATTCCAAACCAACTTTTTATCCTGGGTTTCTTCCTTCAAAACTGTTGGTGACCAATCTGTATATCTTCTCCTTCCATCTTCTTCTTCTTTTATCTCCCCTACTATTTCTCTCTCTAAATCCTTCGGTTTCTTCAGTTGACACAACACTTAAAAAAGACACAGTAGAGAGAGAAAGA